GTTTAGCGCCTGGTGCATCAATGATGATACAGTGTCTACAAACTTTCCCTGTACAACAATGGAGATATCATCCGCATATCCCAGTGCGTAGAAACCTTTCTCTTTTGCCATTTAGTAATTGTTGATAGTGCTTATCTAACAGAAAAGGTTTTTTATCGAATTTGTCACACAGAACTTGCCACGCTTTTTTGTGTCGGTTTATCAAAACTTTCGAGACCTTCTAAAACTTCCAAAGCATACCCACTCAAACACGCTTTCAAAAATTGTCATTTCTGTGATTCGGACAGGTATTGATTGTTATCAATGATCGATGTAAAATTGAACTTAAAATTAATCCAATGCTTAAATGTCATCCTGACTGCATGAAGACTGAATTTTCGATGAAATCTTATCAAATTGATCCAAAAGTGTAGAACAATTTTTCAATCGCAGTCAACATCCTCCAAAGTGGGTTTTATCTCCGATGTACATACAATCGATACGCTTAGAAGAAACTTTTCTAAAAGCTTAAGCTTATTTTGAATTGAAAAACGGTTCCTAATTAATTTTGATATATGAACTTTGTTCTGAATCCATATTGATAAATGGTTTTTAATCGAATGTGACAATAGGGCTCACCAATCAAAATACACTCACTTGAACCCTGGAATTGCTTGTGAACTTCCTCGTAGTCAAACAGAGCCAACTACGAAAATTGTCCCTTTTTCAGGAATTGTTTCCAGTGGATTGGCACTTTAAACCAACTCTCCAACTTGAGAAATTGAATTAAGTGGTTATTGATATATTGCAGAATAGATAAATTGTAATATAAAATTGTAATGGAAAAATTAAACTTGCCTCTTACTTTGCCGTTCTCGTATCTGTAAAATGGTAGACCTGATAACGATAGCTTGATGAATTGCATGATGATTGCTTGATGATGCAGATTCCGGTTCACTGGATGGAACCTGCATGTGATGCAGGTTTGCGACTTCGATGGATTTTTTAATAGTTTCACTTGGAGCGGATTCATCGCCATATTTATTCATCTTTTTATCGCAATTAATTCTACAACCAATAACCTTAAACTCGGCTGATAACAAATATTGGTGGCTGCCCACAACAAGCCACACCCACAGATAATAAATAATAAATTAATTTCTTACATTATTAATGAAGTTTAATTAGACTTTATTACCATTATATTTATTACCAATGTTGGCGCGGATAGAACATTTATGAACGTGCCAGTTCGGCGTCCTATCATTTATTTTTGTTCTGGTGTTTTCGGTGTGTAACAATGAAAAAGTGAAGTTGTCAATCTAATAATAATCAATAAATAGAAATTAATAAATCAGCAATCATCCAATCAATCATCTATAAAAAACGAAATAAAAAGGCAAGCAGTAATCCTCAGCGCACTAAAGCACAAAGGTGTGCAAGACAACCAAAATAGAATAGTTCTGATATTGTACTTGAACTGAATGGTAAAACTGATTCGACAAGAACGGGCATTCATAACGGTTTGTCAAACGTAGGAAATGTAAATGGGACGAAATGTAAATGTTTGGCAGCTTGGTAAGCTCGAATGGTTTGATACGATCAAGTCTTCTTGTCAAGTTTTCTACATCGAGGAGCCTGGACCCTTCTTCGTTGATGTGACGCTGAAGGCGACTTTCGTGTGAAACAGCACATCTTTGTATAACTGATGCAACCGTTTCTACGCTGAGTTCTCGATGTAAGTCGCAATTCCGGAGATGCCAAGGCGCATTTGTTATATGCCTTAGTACTTTCTTCTGGAATCTTTGGACTATCTCGACGTTAGATTTTTTGACGCAGCCCCACAATTGACTGCCATAAGTCCGTATTGGTCGCAGCACTTGTTTGTAGATTAACAGCTTGTTATAGATTGTTAGTTCGGATCGTCTTCCAAGTAGCCAGTATAGTTTCCGGAACTTGATGTTTAGCTCATCTTGCTTCATTTTGATGTGGACCTTCCATCGGAGTTTGGCATCAAGAGTCATTCCCAGGTATTTTGCCGTATTCGCTGGTGGAACCATTATGCCATTGAGGAAAATGTAGATTTTGTTACATATGTAGATTTTTCTTCATTGAGCCTGATTAGCCATTTGCAGGTCCATGCAGCAACATTATCAACTGCCCGTTGCAGCTTTGTCGCTGATTTCTGCAATGAGTCGCCTGTTGCCAGCATTTCAGCGTCATCCGCAAACGTGGCCATCATGCAGTTTGGTGTTTGGGGTGTATCATTTGTGTAGAGCAAGTACAACTTGGGTCCCAGCACACTTCCTTGAGGAACTCCTGCTTGTATTGTCTTCAATTCTACGTATGAGACTTCATTTTAAATACGAAACTTCCGATCTGCTAAGTAAGACTTTAGGAGTTGATAATAGGAGTCAGGTAGATGCAACTTTAGTTTATGCAGTAGGCCATCATGCCATACTCGGTCAAATGCTTGTGCTACATCTAAGAAGATAGCAGAGCACACTTTCTTATGCTCAAGGGATTTTTCTATGACGTCAGTGATTCGGTTTATTTGGTCAATCGTTGAATGTTGACTACGGAACCCAAACTGATGCGTTGGTATTAGGTGGTATTTTTCAATGATTACTTGCAACCTTTTCAGAATCAGCTTTTCAAATAATTTTGACATGATTGGTAGCAGTGAGATTGGCCGATATGATTCTACTTTATGTGGATTTTTGCCAGGTTTATCATCGTCATAATCATAATTACATCCGATACTTTCCATTGTACCGGTACATATTGTAGTCGGATTTACGCGTTGATTAATGTAGTCAATTTTACCAAGGATTTTCGTTGTATTTTCTTTAGTATTGCACCTGTGATCATATCAAAGTCGGGTGCTTTGTTCGGGTTTAGGTTCGTTTTAACTTCTTGACTGACTTATTTTGTTGTAACTAGCGGAATTGGGTCCAAGTAGTAATTTGGAGTTAGGTTAGGCAGTTTATGCACCCCGGTATTAGGCAAAAATTTAGTCTCGAGGAGTTCCGCGAAGATCATTGCTGTATCGTTGTTAGTGCGAGCCCATAGTCCATCAATTTTTTGGATGGGTGGCATTTGTGTTTCAGGGCGCTTTAAGTATTTTGTTGCTTTCCACAAGGAATATCCTGTGCTATCATCTGCGGTTAAATTGCTGAGATAGTTGTTGATTAAAAAAATTTTCAATGCTGCAATCTCTCTTCTTAGTTGTTGCGCGTATCTGTTTAGGATTGTTTTGTCGCTTGGTGCCCGTGTTTGATGCCAGCGCCTTCTTAGTTTTCATTTTACAGCAATCATATCTCTAATTTCTTTCGGGAAGTTGAGTCCCTTAGATTGTGTTTTAATAATTGGTGTA